GGAGGGCAGGGAGGAGGGCAGGGAGGAGGGGGAGGAGGGCAGGGAGGAGGGCAGGGAGGAGGGGGAGCAGGGCGCCCGCACGCACCGCTCGCTGGTGGGGTCGGAGCAGTTGAGCGGGTACTTGAGCTGGATCACGGTGCCGTCGCGGTCCTGCAGCACGCCCTGCTGCTGCGTGTAGAACTCCACGAGCTCGGTGAGCGTGGCGAACTTCTCCCCGCCGTACAGGTCGTAGAAGTCCCCCGAGTTCTGGATGCGGATGTGCGTCACCTGGTCGTCCACCCTGCGGGCCGGGAGCGGGCTGGGCGCGGGGCCTTGCGCGTGTGGGCAGGCAGGGCAGGGGGGAAGGAGGCCGCAGGACAGAGGACTGAGTCACCAGCACCCAGGAGAGAGGACTTAGCCACCAGCACCTAGGACAGCAGGACCAAGCCACCAGCACCCAGGAGAGAGGACTCAGCCACCAGCACCCAGGACAGCAGGACCAAGCCAGCAGCACCCAGGACAGCAGGGCCCTGCAACCAGCATTTAGGACAGCAAGACCCAGCCACCAGCACCCAGGGCAGAGGACCGAGCCACCAGCACCCAGGACAGAAGACCAAGCCAGCAGCACCCAGGACATCAGGACCCAGCCACCAGCATCCAGGACATCAGGACCCAGCCAGCCACCAGCATCCAGGACATCAAGACCCAGCCACTAGCACCCAGGACAGAGGACTGAGCCACCAGCACCCAGAATATCAGGACCCAGCCACCAGTACTTTTTTTTTTTTTTTGGTAGGTCAAGGAACTTGAACTCGGCCTGGGCGCTGTCCCTGAGCCCTTTCACACAAGGCTGGCGCTCTACCACTTGAGCCACAGCACCACTTTGGGTTTTCTGGTGGTTTATTGGAGATCAGAGTCTCATGGACTTTCCTGCCCGGGCTGGCTTTGAACTGCGATCCTCAGCTCTCAGCCTCCTGAGCAGCTGGGATGGCAGGCGTGAGCTCTGGTGTCCGGCTACCTTTCATTGTAATTTGTGTCAGTCCTGGGATTTGAACTCTGGCCTGGACACTCACTGCCCCCCCGCTTTTTCCCTCCACGACATCAACATCACCCCCACTTCTGGCTCTTTGCTGCTGGCTCATTGGAGATGAGCCCCCCCCCAGGCCGGCTCATCACCCTCCAGCACCGCGGGGATTACAGGCGTGCGCAGCAGAGCACCTACCTCACCGAGAGGGAGAAGTCACCCTGGTTTTTGCGGCTGGGCCGTGCGAGGAAACTCCCATTGACACCCCGAGTTTTGAGCAGGGCCTCGGCCTCCAGCCCGCCGAGGTCGCGGTGAAACCACCTGCAAAGGGCAGAGGCCGGGGTGAAGCTCAGATCGGACCCCCGCGAGGGGACCCCCAAAATGCCGGGCCTCCTTCCTGGGGGGGGCCGGGTCCCCTCCACCCTTACCTCACCATCCTGGGCTCCCTGGGGGGAAGACACACAGCGAAAGAGGGGGCGCAGCAGGCGCAGGAGGGAAGGCTGCCGCCGGGGACCCCCCTGACCAGCCCAGCGAGCACCCCACAAGCCAGCCGGCACCCCAGGGCCAGACTTCCACTTGTGGGGCTGCCAGGGGCGGCCGGCAGGGCGGGGACAGGAAGGGGCGGCTCACCCCCGGGGGAACTCAGCCCTCACTTCTTGTTTCTGGGCCCCAAACCAGAAGTGTGGCAGGAGTGGGGGAGGGGCCGCCATCAGAAAGCTCAGGAGCCCCGCACGGGAGAGGGGCGGGGGACAGGCTACCCCAGAAATACCCCCCGCCCGCCACCGAACGCGTCCAGCAGCTCACGCCTGTAATCCCGGCTACCGGGGAGGCTGAGACAGGAGGATCGGGGTTCCAAGCCGCTGCTTCGCCAGCCAATGACAGCGACAATGACAAAGGCATTCACGGCCTTGGTCCTCGTGGTAGATGCAGTGTGTGTGTGTGTGTGTGTGTGTGTGCACACGCCAGTCCTGGAGCTTGAACTCAGGGCCTGGGCGCTGTCTCTTAGCTTTTCCACTCCAGGCTGGTGCTCTACCCCTTGAGCCACAGCGCCACTTCCGGCTTTCTGGTGGGTCCCTGGAGATCAGAGTCTCATGGACTTTCCTGCCCACACTGGCCTCCACCTGCGATCCTCAGATCTCAGCCTCCTGCAGAGCTGGGATGCCAGGCGGGAGCACCAGAGCCAGGACACAAAAGCTTTGCTTTCCCTGCCTGCGTGGCTCCTGTCTGAAATCCCAGGACTCTGCAAGCAGAGGGCAGCAGTACCAATGGTTTGAGGTCAACCTTGAGCAAAACATGACAGAGACCCCATCTCAACCAACGAGCCGGGTGTGTAGAGCGCACCTGACGTCCCTGTTACTTGGGACGCAGAGGTGGGAGAGTCGAAGTCCAGGCCAAAGCAGAAAGGGACCCGGCCCGTGACCCAAACGACACAGTCTGCTTAGTAAACACGAGGGCCTGAGTTCAAGCCCCAGTACTGACAACAAAAAAAAAGGTCTGCAGGGACGCTGGCGGCTGCCATCCCAGTGACTCGGGAGGCTGAGACCTGAGGATCGCGGTTCAAAGCCAGCCCGGGCAGGAAGGTCCGTGAGACTCTGATCTCCCATGAACCACCAGAAAACCGGGAGTGGTGCTATGGCTCAAGTGGTAGAGCGCCCGCCTGGAGCTGAAGAGCTGAGGGACAGCGCCCAGGCCCCGAGTTCAAGCCCCAATACTGGTGCGCTCACACACACACACACACACACAGAGTTGTCACTGTTGGTTGGTTTTTTTCTCCCTCGCTTTCTCCTCTTACACGTGCCCCCCAAATTTGCCTGATTTATTTCCCACAGGCCCAAATTTGGCTAAACCACCAGTTGGACATTTGAACTCTGCCCTGGCCATATGCAAACTTGGCTCCGCCCACTGTGCCCCCCGCCCCCCAGCCCGCTCCCCAGCCTGCCCAGCCTCAGCTGCCTGCTACTGAAAAAGGTCCAGTGAAGCCGGGCACCGAGCGCACACCTGTCATCCCAGCCACTCAGGAGGCCGAGATCTGAGGATCGCGGGTGGAGGCCAGCCCGGGCAGGAAAGTCCCGGTGAGACTCTGATCTCCAGTGAACCACTCAAAACCCACAAGTGAGGCTGTGGCTCACGTGGTAGAGCACCAGCCTTGAAGGGGAAAAAGTCCAGGAACAGCACCCAGGCTCTGAGTTCACACACACACACGCACACACACACACACACACACACACACGCACGCACACCCAATCAAAATCCCCCCGGACTTGTGTACACACAGCCCAGCACCTGTCCACGCACACACATACTCGGTGAGAGGCAAACCCCAACACAAACGCGTGATCCTGACCACACGCACAGCGCCAGCGGTCAGTGCTCCTGGCAGGAACTAAGCACAGCCCTGAGCCACTGAGCTAAGTGACATGAGCCCCTGACAGTCAGGACAGACGCAAACCCAGCTAAGAATGCACAGGCTCCACCAGCTCCTAGCAGCAAATAAACCATGCCAAGTTGGATCTGGCCGAGCATTGGCCTAACTCTCCCCCTTCCTCAGAACTTGCTGGCTCAACTTGCTTGCTCAGCTGGTGCTCCACCACTTGAGCCACGCCTCCCGCCAGGCTTTTTGCTGGCTATTTTGCATCAAGTCTCATGGACTGTTCTGTCCAGGCTGGCCTCAAACCCCTATCCTCCAGACTTCAGACTCTTGAGTAGCTAGAATTACAGATCACAGGCGTGAGCTACCAGTACATGGCTTTGTGCTTTCCTTCCCTCAGTCATCCCTCCTTCCATCCTTCCTTTCGTCCCTCATTTATGTATTTATTTTTGTTCTGAGGCTTGAAGCTTCTGCTCGTTCAAGGCTGGTGCTCTACCACTTGAGCCACAGCGCCACTTCTGGCTTTTTCTGTGTATGTGTACTGAGGAATCAAACCCAGAGCTTCATGCATGCTAGGAGAGCACTCTACCACTGAGCCACCTGCCCAGCCCTGAGAGACTCTCATCTCCAATGAACCATGAGAAAACCTGAAGTGGTGGTTTGGCTCAAGTGGTAGAGCACCAGCCTTGAGCAAAAGAAGTTCAGGGAGGTGGGTGCCAATGGGCCTGTCATCCCAGCTCCTCAGGAGGCTGAGATCTGAGGATTGTGGTTCAAAGCCAGCCTGGGCAGGAAAGTCCATGAGACTCTGATCTCCAATCAACCACCAGAAAACCGGAAGTGGCGCTGTTGCTCAAGTAGTAGAGCGCCAGCCTTGAGCTAAGGAACAGAGCCCAGGCCCTGAGTTCAAGCCCTATAACCAACAACAACAACAAAAAGCAGCTCAGGGGTAGCACCCAGGGCTTGAGTTCAAGCCCTAGGACCTGTACACACACACACACACACACACACACACACACACACACACACACATCTGTTATGTAACCAGGCATGGTAGTGCATCTCTGAAATCTCAATGACTCAGGAAGTGGAGGCCAAGAGAATTATAATTAAAGGCCAGCTCAGGCAAACAACAACAACAGCAATAATTAGTGGGCTGGGCAGGTGGCTCCGTGGTACAGTGCTCGCCTAGCATGCATGAGGCCCTAGGTTCCATTCCTCAGCACCACATACGCAGAAAAAGCCCAAAATGGAGCTGTGGCTCACGTGGTAGAGAGCCAACCTGGTACTGAAGAGCTGAGGGACAGCGCCCAGGCCCTGAGTTCAAGACCCAGGACTGGAGAAAACAAACAAAAAAAAAATTGGTGAGCCCTCCATCTTAACTCACAAGCTAGGCATGAAGGAGCAAGCCTGGAATCCATGCTGCTAAGGAGGCTGAGGCGGAGGCTGGGAGTCTGAGGCTGGCCTCCCCTCAGGCAGAGCACGAGCCTCCGTGTGGAAACCACAGCCTCCAGCGAAAATGGCCGGAGGAAGGACTCCAGGGCGGAATGTTAGCTAACAAGGATATAAATAGCCTCAGTGTGTGGGGGGAGGAATCGAACTCAGACCTCGTGCTTGCTGGGAGCACTGTACCACTGAGCCACGCTCCCAGCCCCAAGGCTACGACTCACACTTCAGTAGCCCAAAGGAGAGGACCTGGAGGTGACTGGCGGGTCACTGGGAGGCTGAGGTGGGGGTGTAGTTGGGGTACAGGAGGTAAAGCCTGGCTGCACACCCCGAGATCTCCATCTCCACAACAAAACAAAAGCCGTGTCATCCCAGCCACTCAGGAGGCTGAGACCTGAGGATCACAGTGCAAAGCCAGGCCGGGCAGGAAAGCCTGGGAGGCTCCTATCTCTAATGACCAGCAAAAAGCCAGAAGGAGAGCTGTGGCTCGAGTGGTAGAGCGCCCGTCTGGAGCCACACAGTTCAGAGACAGCGCCCAGGTCCTGAGACCAAGTCATGAGGCGCGTGCGCGCGCGCGCGCGCACACACACACACACACACACACACACACACAGATGGGAAGAAAAAAGACAGATGGAAGGGAGGGGGGAGGGAGGGCGGGAGGGAGGGAGGGCTTCAGTGTAAGTTTTACATTATACAGCCAGTTTTGTGCTGGCTTTACTTTTGTTGGTCCTGGGGCTTGAACTCTGGGCCTGGGCGCTGTCCCTCAGCTCTTCAGCTCCAGGCTAGCGCTCTACCACTTGAGCCACAGCACCACTTCCGGTTTTCTGGTGGTTGATTGGAGATCAGAGTCTCATGGACTTTCCTGCCCAGGCTGGCTTTGAACCGCGATCCTCCGATCTCGGCCTCCTGAGCAGCTGGGGTGGCAGGCGGGAGCCATGACGCCCGGCTGGTTTCCTTTTTTATTTCACCCAAGGTGGGGTCTCGCTCTGCAGCCGGGGTGTCTGGACGTGGGGTCCTGCCCGCAGAGCGGGGACCACAGGCAGACACCCAATCCCGGGGCGACGCGACCTCCTGGAGCCACGAGGCAGACGGGCCCATGTGAGGGGTGTCCCTGTGGGGGGAGGGGCACCCCCTCACAGGTGGACCTGGACACCCCTCCTCACAGGTGTCCCCGTCCTCACAGGTGTCCCCCCCTCCTCACAGGTGTCCCCTCCTCACAGGTGTCCCCCCTCACAGGTGTCCCCCCCTCACAGGTGTCCCCCCCCTCCTCACAGGTGTCCCCCCCTCACAGGTGTCCCCTCCTCACAGGTGTCCCCTCCTCACAGGTGTCCCCCCCCCACAGGTGTCCCTCCTCCTTCACAGTGTCCCCTCACAGGTGTCCCCTCCTCACAGGTGTCCCCCCCCTCACAGATGTCCCCCCTCCTCCTCACAGGTGTCCCCCCTCCTCACAGGTGTCCCCCCGTGCTCACAGGTGTCCCCCGTGCTCACAGGTGTCCCCCGTGCTCACAGGTGTCCCCCGTCCTCACAGGTGTCCCCCCGT